AGAGAGAGACAGAGAGAGAGAGAGAGACAGAGAGAGACAGAGAGAGAGAGAGAGTGTGTTTTCGTCAAATACATTCCAAGAAAAGTCGATTGTGTCCCAAGTCGCCCCAAGTCCCAACATTTGTCCCGAAAGGTGTCAGTGTCCGTATGCTGTAACGATAGTCAGAGTGTGAGTGTGCCCTAAGTTGCCCGAAGTCCTAGCGTGAGTATGTCCCAAAGGGCCTCAGTGTCAGTATATCGTAAGGATAGTCAGAGTGTGAGTGTGCCCTAAGTTGCCCGAAGTCCTAGTGACATTCCAAGAAAGTAGATTGTGTCCCAAGTCGCCCCAAGTCCCAGCATTTGTCCCAAAGGGTGCTAGTGTCAGTATGTTGTAAGGATAGTCAGAGTGTGAGTGCGCCCTGGGTTGCCAGAAGTCCTAGCGTGAGTATGTCCTAAACGGCCTCAGTGTCATTATATCGTAAGGATAGTCAGAGTGTGAGTGTGCCCTAAGTTGCCCAAAGTCCTAGTGTGAGTATATCCCAAAAGGTCCCCGAAGTCGGTACGCCCATAACTGCGGACATATACATTGAAAATAAATCCCGGTGAGTATGGACTAAGGAGTTGTCAGATGCGAACGCCGCTGCGCGCGCGCTGTCGGAGGGCGTGGTATACCAGCCCTCCACTGCATACCAAGTGCCTGCTCACGTGCCTCCGCTGCGTACCACGTACCTTTGTTGTGGGACCAGTCCAGTCGACGCTACCTCTGGCAAAAACGGGAGGGGCGCCGCTAGACTTTCTATTGGTACACGCAGGCTGTACACCCTGCTGTACTGCAGCGCACAGCCGGCCTGAGGTCGTAGTAGCCGCCGGGCTCGCCCAGGGACGGGAGGGTGGAAGAATCGATACGGTGTTTCCTCCTGCGTGCCGATCTCCCTTTTTGCCAGGTTATGGGTTGTGTGCATAGGGCAGGTGGTCACAATCAAGTAAGAAGTTAGAGAAAGGAAAAAAGGGGGAGAACAAGGAAAGGTCGAGTGTCAAGCCTTTACCCTGATCTGAACTGTCCTTTCAGTTTTGACTTGACCTGGGGGTCTTAGGCTGCTGCGGCGATACGGTTTTTGTAAGGATTTTAAATTTTCTTTATATAATTTCGAACTTAGTCCCCTTCGGGTCATTTCACGGGGGGATAAATGGTTTGCTTTTGAAATCGAGAGTCGCTAGCGTGTGGCCTAGACTGGCCCAACCCTTCGCGTTCCGTTTACCGCACGCACGGTCTGCTAAACATTGCTTTGTAAGGCTCCAAAAGAGGAGCACCCGCGACCGCATCGGTAGGAGACTCATCACCCCCGSGGGGGGGGGGGGGGGGGCGCTTACCATCAGACACGGGTACTCGTTAGGAATGGTTCGACGACCTCCTTTGAGGAAGGGGGTGCTTTGTCGTTATCCCAATTAGGGGACCGCCGCTCGCCAAGTTTACAGTCTTTGCGCTGCACTCCAGTAGTAACCGTTGAGAGTCATTCTAATATTAAATAATTATTATTTTCAGGCAAAAGGGAAAGACATATATAGGAGTTTCTTGGTGTTTGATTATGAATGTATGAGTATTGAAGAACTTGATACTCTTCATTTAGTATGCAGAAACTGCGACCTCCTTAAAGATTTATAAGAGAGCAGCAAACGTGCCATTTTGCTACTGGCTTGTCGGTGAGTGTCAGACTCGCTCCCCCACTGTCCGAGAGTCGGGACGAATGTCGCGGCTAGCTGCTTAATAATACCTCGTCTACACCATGAGCTTACAGATAGAAGTTGCACGCTACTCAGAGTTGTTGGTTTGGTACCAAACACGGTCTGTTCAGAGGACTAAACTATGGTGCACAACAGTGGGCTGTATGGCTACAGGCCAAGATACCTCCAGTTCCTCTGAAGGTGGGAACGGATGTCTGGAGACGGGCCTGTGGTGACGAGCGTCCTGGACTACAACCACTGCAATCAAGAGGCCAGGCTGAAAATAAACGTGGAAGGGGGGAAGGAAGAGGAGATGAGAGCGGACCAGGGCCTGCAGTTGGCTATCACGGAAGCCAAGGACCGGCCCGAGAGAAGGTGCAGAACGGACGGGGTCACGGATGAAATGAAAGTGACTGTCTCATACTTGGAGGGGGAGACCTCGATAGACACGACGGAGAGGGAACAGCGGCATCTGGACTGAGACACGGAGACCGAAAGCGAGGCCAGTGATCTGAGCGCGGAAACCCAGTCCTGGCACGGACTGGACCAATGGCGATGGGACCATCCGCCTGCAAAAACGATGGAAGACGGCCTGGAAGCCAGCTCGCGGCAACGTGACCAGGGGCGCTTAGCAGTCACGACCAAGAGAGAGAGGAAGAGAGAGAGTACGAGTGAAAAAAAAAAGATAGACAAGAGAGAGAGCCTGAGGGAGGGTTACTTGCGCGACTCGTTTTGGTTGACGTCAGCAACTTCAAGCGAGCTTGACACGTGTGGACCTAGCCAAGGGGACGGTGATATGAGCATCAGTTTGCGGTAGGGGTCTCGATGCATGTCCCTTGCTCGCTCAAATGGCGGGTCGACTTGGTTGACGTCAACTCCTTCTTCGCTTGATATGCACTTGCTATTATGGCGGTCTTCATCTCAATCTTGGTGAGGAAGGCCCTCGACAACGTTTAGTATGAAGCATCCTTGAAGACATCATCAACCCCCATGCATGAATTACAAAAGTTCACGTTTGCCCGTGGCAAGCACGGGCTTGTGGGGCATAAGAGGGCCGCATGACCATTCTCGAGAGAATGAGAGGGTCGCGTGATCGCTCGTGAGAGAATGAGCCCGAGGCGAACTTAAAGGCTACCTCATGGGAGGCAGAGTGGACTTATTGGTCGGAGAA